GGCACTCACTTAGTGCCAGGGGCTTGGATGGGGGAGGGATTGGTATTTGTTAGGTGCATCCAGGAGGGTTTCCTGAGGCAATATGTAAATTTTCCAACAAAGGAAGAGGCCATACTGGACCTGGCATTGGGAAAGAGCTCAGCCAGTGATTGAAGTTTCAGTGGAAGGGAGTATTTCAGGAATAGTGACCAAAATTCTGTAAGTTTTAATTTACTTTTAGATAAGGATAAGAATAGTCCTCAGATGAAAGTACTAAACTGGGGGAAGGCTAGAACTATAACAATATTAGACAAGAACTGACGAATGTAGATTGGGGTAGCTGTTTGACAGTAAATCCACATCTGAAATGTGGGAATCTTTAAAGGCCAGTTGATTGGACAAAGTCAGAAATCACTCGACACCAGGTTATAGTCCAACAGGGTTATTAAAATCACAAGCTTTTGGAGCATTGCTCCTTCATCACCTGTACATGTACATGTCCAATATTTTCAATGTGCTTCTTCAGTCTTTAAATATGCTATCCATGGTTCAACCTTATAAACCTTTTCTGTATCTTTAAGCCATAAAAATAAAAATGCACTTTGACTTGTGTCAATATCGATTAAAAACTTCTGTTTCCTTAGCAATAAAGAATGTAAAGCTATGTTCTGAGAGAGTTTGTTACTTATGTATCAAATGCATGGAACCAATGTGACTAAGCTGTCTGTGTCTCAGCAATTTTTTTTTATTTTTAATTGAGGCAGCCTTAGAAATGTATTTGTCTGAAAGAACTTGCATTATAATCAAAAAGAACTTAGCTTTGTTTTCTTGGTGGTTAATGCCTATGTATAGATCTCTGCACTCATGGAAACAGATGCTGTTTAAGGGTAACCAGCTTTTTCTAAGTCCAAATTCTCTGATGTCCAAAGCTATTGTCTAGTTGACCTTCAATTAGTTTTGCAAATATCTACCATCAAGAGATTGAATTCTATTGTAGATCATTGCTGCTGCTGTCATGGTATGACCTTGTTTCCAGCAGGGTGTTTTTAGCTGATGCAGTAATTTTTTTGTTCCATTCATTCAAGGGATATGGATGTCGCTGGTTGAGCCAGAATTTATCCACCGTCCCATTTATCGTTTAGAATGTGTTGGTGAACTGCTTTCTTGAACTGCTGCAGTACATTTGCTTTAGGTATATCCATAATGTCTTTATGGAGGAAGTTCCAGGATTTTGACAGCGATACTGAGGGAACTGTGATATATTTCCAAGTCTAGATGGTGAGTGGCTTGGAGGGTAATTTTTCAGCTGGTGGAATTCTCATGTATTTGCTGCTCATGTCCTTCTAGATAGTAGTGGTTGTGGGTTTGGAAAGTGCTATCTAAGGAGCTTTGGTGAATTCATATTGACTCTTGTAACATAAGGAACTGTGTAAGCATTTTGTAGTATTGAAGAATCCAGTAGACATTTATTGTAACTAAAATATGCCAACATTACATTCCTCAGGCATATAGTATCTGGGTTAGTATTAAGGCAGTATTTACAACAAAGGATTGTACTTCCAGTATAGTGTCATGCATCAAGTGATCTGAGCTAAGGTGTAGTGTTAGATCTTTATGCTCTCAAATCACATTTTAGGGCAATTTTTGTTTTAGTCTTTACCAATGTGACATAAATTACACATCTGGCTCAGAATGAGCATGTTAATTCTGCCAGCCATTTTGGAGTCTACAGAGGCTATTTAACAGCACAGTAGAATTTCTAAGCTACTGCAGATGCTGGAGAATCTGAGATAACAAGGTGTAGAGCTGGATGAACACAGCAGGCCAAGCAGCATCCGAGGAGCAGGAAGGCTGACGTTTCGGGCCTAGACCCTTCTTC